AGGAACTGAACCTCTCGTAACCAAATCTCACACTTTTAGAACTTAGCATAAAGTCGTTCTCGCCTCAAAACCTCCAGAATCTTGCAAAGATGCTCCTCATGCTGCTCTCTAGTCTTGGAATATACCAAGATATCATCAATAAATACGATAACTGAACGATCGAGCATCGGCCTGCATACTCGATTCATCAAACGCATAAAAACCACATGCGCATTGGAGAGCCCAAATGGCCTCACCACAAACTCGTAATTCCCATAACGAGTCCAAAATACGGTCTACTTCAGGTCCTCCTCTCTCACTCTGACCTGATGGTAGTCGGACCTTTGATCTATCTTGGAGAACTAAGATGCACCCTGCAACTGATCAAAGAGGTCATCAATCTGTGGAAGGGGATAACGGTTCTTCACCGTTAGCTTGTTCAACTCTCGGTAATCAACACACATCCGGTGTGAACCGCCCTTCTTCTTGGCGAACAAAATCGATGCTCCCCACGGAGAACTACTCGGTCTGATGAACTGCTTGCATAACAGCTCCTGCAAATGATATGACAACTCCTACATCTCAGGCGGTGCCAATCTGTACGGCGCCTTGGCAATTGGGGCCGCACCTGGCATAAGGTCAATCCTGAACTAGACCTGCCTCATAGGATGCACACCGGGTAACTCCTCCGGAAATACATCGGCAAACTCCCTGACAACCGGGACCTCTGAAACTGAAACCTGATCCCCAACACGCGTATCCACCACATAAGCCAAATAACCCGCACACCCGTGTTGAATATACTGCCGAGCTCTGGCTGCGGAACAAAACCTTAAACCCATCCTGGTGCCCTCTCCCTAGATAACCAGTTCTCCCCCACTTGGGGTTCGATCTACCATCTTTGGGCCCCTCGGTGATTTGATGTTGACAACATAGTGTTGGGCCCAGCCAGTACTAAATTGATGTGTTTAATTAGTAGTCTAATGACGTCATCATAAATCGGGAAATTGGGAAACAACATTTTGGACAATGAGACTGATTGAATTCGATGTCTCATGCCCATACGATGTCATGAAGAAAGAAGGAATAACTGATCACTTATCTTAGGGCCAACATTTGATTTGAATAAGAGTTCAACAGTTGCTTCGGAAAGCACACTTTGTTGTTTAGTTCAAGGTTGTACTTGAAATTGTAGTTATAGACTTATCCAAGTAGGAGACTGTTTGATTAACGTGTCTAAGCTCATAACTAAATTGGTATATACTAGTAATTAAAAGCAAACTCCTTTTTGGGTTGCCCTCATAACTAGTAACTAAATAGAATGACATTTATAAATTGAAATAAATGATTTATTAATATATTATATGATTAATATATTAACTGGAAATATTGATAATTAATTAAGAATTAATTTAGATTTAATTCTAGGTTAATTAGAATTAATTAAAGGTGCAAGGACTTAGGCTGTAATTGTTTAATAGTTTAACGAAGGAGAGCTTCCAGAACCTTTCTGCAGGGTACGGTTTTAGAGGATACCCAATTAGGGTTCCTGGAATCCTACTAAAGATAAGGAAATTGGATAACCACCCATATTTGAAATATTATAATTATATTCCAAGTTAGGGTTTCAAGGGTTTTCCTATCAACTATAAACCATGCCTATTGGGTAGCCTATTATTGTCCACTCCTCATAACAAAAGGATAGTCGGATTTTGCATCCTCTCTCCTCTCTCCTCTATTGTCCTCTAGTTGCTAGGGTTTGGGTACAAGCCATTAGAGGCACTAAGCTTTTGGTGCTAGCTTTCTGAAGAACAAATGAAAGGATCAAGAGAATTATTTGATATAATAATTCTAAGGTATGTAAATCCGAATTCTTGAATTTTCGATTTCAATATGGTTTCTCTAGGGTTCTTGCTATTCATAGTATGTTGTTATTATTTGTGAAGAAATATATCCTTTATAGGTTGCATGTGTCCTTAGGTGTTAAGTGTATTTTTCCGCATTCAAATGTAATTTTTATAACCTATAAAACTCATCAAAGGTATCATATATGTCCTTCTTAAATATCAAAATATCATATATGTCCTTAAATATCAAAATATCAATGGTAATATCTAAAATGTCTTCTATCTACAACATGCCAATAATCAACAACAACAAAAACTAAGCAATTAATGCATACATTCCATAGAGAGGGTTAAAGATGAAGCGTTTTGTTTGTCAAGATGACGTCATTCTAACAATTTAGAAGTAGACGATCCATTCTCATTGACGTACGGATAATATGCTTAAATTTTTTTAATTATTATAATAATTATAATATGTAAAAATTATTATAAACTATTAAAAACATTATAAAAAAGATTTGAGTAAATTCAATATTTTGGAGGTTTATGAAGGGTAAATATGATATTCAGAAATTAAGTTGGTCAAATATGATATTTTAAGGTTTAAGAAGGACATATATGAAATTTTCCATATTGTTTGTTGACGTAAAAGATTACTCACTAGTGGTTAAGGTGAAAGTTAAAAGTTAAAAGGGAAATTAAGTAATTAAATCAATATAAGTGTTTTTCTTTTCGATAAAAGTAACCATTTTTCTGTTTTGGTAAAATGGCCACTTTATCAAAAACAATATGTTCGGGTGTAGTTTTTAATATTTGTGAATATAAATTAATGGTGGTCATTTGTAGTGTGTTCATTTTATGTTTAATTATGGTTAAGTGTTCGTTAACTTTTATATGGTTTATGAAAAAAAAAATTGTAATTCAAAAACATATAAATATGAAATTGCATGACAACCTTTAAATATATTGCAAAAAGTAATAATTACATAAACTTAAATATGTTTAAAATAATAATACAATGTGCTAATGGATCCCTACTTTTTTCTTTGTACCGCATACATTTTTCGCAAATCGCCTTTGGTATGACTTGGAATAGGTCTCGGTGCAACCCTTTATCCTTACAAATTTGAAAACGATCAACCTCTCTAGGAACCAATATAAAAACACTTCACAATCTCCTTTATCATCAGATTGTTGTGGTAGGCAAAATTCCTTTTTCCCAAACGACAACTCGTATTCATCGATGTCAAAAAGCATTTCTTGTACTAGGCTTCGAAGATTTGTCACAACTTCTTTGCAGAATATATAATGTAAAAGAAAAAGATCCCATCTACCCACATAGGAATATCTAACCACCTACCAAAACATATTTTTTTGAATAAAGCCTCACATGGTGGTCGGTTCCTAACTTTAGCAAGAATATCCGCACCAATGACAGGTTTGCAAGAAATTGTAACAGAATCATCAAAAATGTTGTCTAGCTGCAAAGAAAAAACCAAGAAAAAAAGTTACTTTCATGATAATTTTGGACCGTTAGTTGAGCTCCGGAACATACTGATCTGCACATTCAGGACTTATTCATCGTATTCCGGACTTGTTCAGGAATTCATCTGCGTATTCTGGAATACAATTTTCACATGCTATTGTCAACATAACTATTTTCTAATACTTTGGGTGTTTAGTAACACTATAAAACAACCTAATTAAGGCTCCTAGTAAGTCAGAAATGTATTATGAACTTGTTCTTCTTGTTGCATACAAGTTCTTTGTTAGAAATAGGGGATGAACATATTGCTTGGATTCTATGAAAGTCGTGATTTACTATCAAATTGAAGTATTTCGATGGTACAGATCGAACACTCAATTAGATGAAATTCAGATATATGAAATTAGTGAATGTATGTGAAAATATTCTTCAAGATGTACCAGAAAATGACCAAAAAACGGATTTATGATCTCTGTCTGAAAACTATCATATGACAGTTTCAAACTGTCATAAAACTATAAAAACTAACATAAAAACGGGTATTTGGATAAGGGTTAAACCAATGGTCAATTATCTGAAAAAACGCCGCTCCAAGAGGCGCTGCCCCCGGACCCTGTCCGTTTAGGGGATTCGCCCCTAAATAACAATGTACTTTGAATCTTGAAAAAACTTAAACAAGTGTGCACTCCTACACCATCCTAACTTGTTCAATATTCATCAAGATCACTTTTGGTCAACAATTTTAATCCTATTACACTTAAGTAATATTGATGATATTAAATCACCAACATTCTTCACGTTCCAGACTCAAGTTGTAAAGTTATAATTAAAAAATTAACAAATTACAAGTAAAAGAGTCATGAACTTACCCGTAAAACCTCTAACTCATCAATTGTAGATGTCATTTCTTCTCTCCAGAGTCCGAAATGTGATGAAATCTGTTATGCATTCCAGAATAGGCTATGTAGTGTCATCATTCCTAAACATGAACGGGTCAGGTAGAACCTCACCCCGAAATAATCCATTTCGGACAAGATGAACAATTTTCAAAATGATTATTTCTTAAAAAATAAATTATTGAATTGTTAGATTACTCAATTTTATAAGGGAAATCTTCGATAAAGTCTCAATATTCTGGATCAGTTTACGGTTTAATCCCAACATTTATTTTTTAATCATAAAAATCTTGATTATCTAATTTTATATGATAATCTTTTATTTTCTGTTGAGAAAAATAATAATAATTGTTTCTTTAGTTTGGACAAAATAAAAAATAATTGAGACTTCTCTTTTCAAAAATTAAAAATTAAAATTAAACTGTAAACCGCCTCAAATATATTTGAGATTTTATTGAAAATTTATTAAAATATTGCTAACTGCGCCTACTTGTCTCTTTGTCAACAATAATATAAGAGCTTCTCCAACCACAAACACCAAAATAATGATTATTTAGCACCAAAATAGTGTTTGAGTTCCAATCAACCTCTAAAATAGTGGGTTTTAGAGTTCTTCTCATTTGGCTTTCATACTTAGTGTTAAAATTGAACCAACACAAAAATAATAATGCTAAATTTGAAGGTTGGTTGGAGTATTTTTGCCGGCCAAAACACAAAAATAGTGTAATATAATGGATGGTTGGAGCTGGCCTAAGAACCTCGCCATCGAATTGGATTACGCACCCTCAAAATATGAAGCCAATTTCTTCACATTCTTCCTCTCTTTCTCATTTCGCCTCACAATCAAACCAAACCCACCTCGAACCTTTGATTTCAGTCATCAAATCCACTACCCAAAGAACCCAATTGCTTCAAATCCATGCGTACCTCCTTCGCACTTCGCTCCTTCAAGAATCCACCTTTTCTGTCCCTTTTCTAAACCGTATATCCCTGCCTCCTATTCAAAATTTAAACTATTCTCTCCAAATATTCTCTCAGATTCTAAATCCAAATGTCATGCACTATAACACCATGATCAGAGCTTATTCAATGAGCATTCATCCGGAGAGAGGGTTTTATGTCTACCGTGATATGATCCGGCAAGGTATACGTCCCAATCCTCAATCTTCTTCTTTCGTTACCAAGTCTTGTATACGAAGTTCATCTTTATTCAGAGGGTTGCAGATTCACGCTAGGATTTTCAGAGATGGGCATCATTCCGATACCCTTCTGCTCACTACTTTGATGGACTTCTATTCAAGTAGTGGCAACTCCAACAACGCACACAAGGTGTTCGATGAAATGCCTCAACGAGATACAATCGCATGGAACGTATTGATTTCATGTTATACCCGTAACAACAGGACCCGTGATGCATTACACCTGTTTGACACAATGCAGAGCCAAGAACACAAGTGCAAACCAGATGATGTCACCTGTTTGCTAACACTTCAAGCTTGCTCAAATCTATGTATGCTTGAATTTGGTGAACGAGTCCATGAATATATCAAACACCATGGCTACAATCAATCTCTAAATCTTTGTAATTCTCTTGTATCAATGTATTCCAAATGTGGAGACTTGAAAAAAGCATATGAAGTATTTCAAGATATCCCAAATAAAGATGTGGTTTCTTGGACTTCAATGATCTCTGGTTTTGCAAGTAGTGGTTATGGACAAGAAGCAATCAATGTTTTTAAAGAAATGGTGAAAACGGGTATTCCACCAGATGAACAAACATTCACTGCTTTACTTTCTGGGTGTAGTCATTCAGGGCTAATTAATGAAGCAAGATTCATTTTTGATCAAATGGAAAAACAATTTAATGTAACACCTAATATTCATCATTACGGGTGTATAGTTGATCTCATGGGTCGTGTTGGATTACTTGAAGATGCATATAATCTCATAATTTCAATGAATTGTACACCCGATGCTACAATATGGAGGACTTTACTTGGATCTTGTAAATTACATTCCCATTTTGACCTTGGAGAACGTGTGATTAACCATTTGATTGAACTCAAAGGTCAAGAAGCGGGTGATTATATTCTACTTTTGAATATTTACCATTCAATTGGGAATTTTGAGAAAGTGATGGAAATAAGGAAATTAATGAAAGAAAAAGGGATTCAAACAACTCCTAGTGCTAGTACAATTGAAATTAAAGGGGAAATACATGAGTTTAGAGTTGATGATACTTTGCATTTGAGGATTAGTGAAGTTTATGAGAAGTTGGATGAGATTGAGAAGCAATTGAAAATTGGGGGGTATGTTGAGGAAATAGGTGGAAAAGGAAGGTACCATAGTGAAAAATTGGCTATGGCTTTTGGGGTTTTGGTGACTCCACCTAGAACGAAATTGAGAGTGGCGAAGGACTTGAGGATTTGTGTTGATTGTCATAATTTTGCGAAGGTGTTTTCGGGGGTTTATGATAGAGAGGTTGTTATAAGAGATCGTATGAGGTTTCATCATTTTAGGGAAGGTAGATGTTCATGTAATGATTTTTGGTGAGTTTTTTTTTTTCTTTTTTTTTTGTATTGGATTGTTGGTGGCAAAATCATGAATCTAAAATTTAGGGATAATAGAAATTAATGAGGTTTTTGTATTGGTTGGTTTTTGAAAACTAAAATAGGTTTTAGGAATAATAGAAGTTAAATAATTTCTAAAATTTCATGTAAATGTTTTTTGTTTATTGTAATATAAATATAATGAATTCTTTTTATAGTAATTAACTTAAGGGAAATTTTGAAAACTCCAATTAGCGATGGTCGTTGTCCCATTTTCATCTTTTTGAAATTTTGAAAAGCACTACACGAGGTCCCTAATAACTTTTTTATATGATCTTTTTGACCGGATATTATTGGTTACAAGATTTTTCTAAATAAACATATCATATGTCGTAATAATGTGCGTCTTAAAGCTTGAGAATTCAATTTAGAAATTAGAACCCTTCAACCGCTTCATTCATTACTCTTGTTCTTGTTCTAAGTTCGTTAATAAAGATTTGAAAAGACGAAGGAATTTTTTCGAAGGCGATAAGTATTATTTAGGGTAATTCATGATCGTTGATAACAAGATAAAGTATCAAAAGTGTTTAGACTATTTATTTATTATTATGAGGATTTAGTGTTCACTGATTAGTTGACGCAAATGTGGGTGCATATAACTTTTCATGTACATGTCTTCCATAATAGATTATTTTCAATCTAGTGGCCGTTTTGATGACCGTGGATATCCAACAGTGTTTAAACAATGATTGCAGTTTCTTCTGCTAACAGTTTCATGGCACATATGATTGGGGCTAACATGAAGTTAGCAAAGAATTGGAATCCAATTATTGAGAAATTTAACACTAAGTTGTCTTTGTGGAAGGCTAAAAATCTTTCGTTTGGAGGGAGGCTTATGCTTGTAAAATCTGTTTTGGGGAGTTTATCTCTTTTCTATTTTGCTCTCTTCAAGGCTCCTAAAAAAGTCATTTGCATTTTGGAAGGTATTAGAAGGAAGTTTCTTTCGGATGGTGTTGATACTGTTAGGAAGATTCATTGGGTAGATTGGGAGACGGTGATTAAACTGAAAAATTTAGGTGGTTTTGGGGTTGGTTGTCTTAGAATGATGAATATTATGCTTCTTGCTAAATGGTGCTAAATGGTGGTGGAGACTACAAGTTAAGTATAGCTCTCTTTGTTCTTCTTGCATTAGAGCTTTGCACAATTGTAGCATTTGCGATTTTTAGGTATGTTCCTTTTAACCCCTAATTTGTAAATTCCTTTCATTTTGGTCCCTAGCCGAGTATGTTGGGCGTACTCTATGAGTACGCCGGGCGTACTAGCTCGAGGATTGGATGCGGAGGCACCCACGTACGTTGGGCATACGTGGAAGTACGCTAAGCAGGGGCAAGCCCTAATTTTTAGGGTTTGTGTCATATTTAATCAACTTATGTTACCTTGGGAGCATCTTATGGTCAACCTCCACTTCTCAAAACCCTAAGAACGAAACCCTAGCCTCATTTGAGTGTTTGTGAGCCATTGTATGATTTTGTAGTGGTTTTGGGTCCCTTGAAGGAAGTGAAGCTTGGTTGTGAAGCTTTGGTGGACTTAGAGCTTGAAGATCGAGGATCTTCATCAACTTTGCAAGCTATTTGAGGTATAAAGCTCATAACTTGATGGTTCCTTATGATAGATCTGTTGGATAAGGTGTCTAAGTCCATGACTATTTCTGGTATGTACTTGACCCGGTTGGCATGGTCCATTTGGGTTGCATGACATTGCAATACTTTGATAGACCAAATGAGAGAAAGGACACTTAAGGTTTATTAATATATTATAAGTTCTAATATATTAATAATATTATTTGATTAGTATTGATCAAAAATTAATTTGGAATTAATTAAGTGATCAAAAAGAGACTAATTAAATATATGGGGTTGATTGTGTAAATCATCCATTCTTGTATAGTGGGCTAATGATCCATGGTTTATATGAATTGGGCTAACACCCATAAGGTGCTCCATGGATAGTCCATGGAGGTTATAAACCCATGGATCATGGAATATGAAAAGCCATGCACATTAGGGTTTACATGGAGTAACCCTACATGTGGCACACTATATAAGAAGCCCTATGGTAAGCAAAATCGGCCACTAAGTGAAGAACAAGAGGGCTAGCCTACTTTAAGTGATAAGTGTCATCTCTCAAGGTTATTCCAAGTGTTGTGGTGTTGTGTGATACATTTGAGGCATCACACTTGAGGTGCTAGGCTCACAAGGTTCTCAAGGAATCCATGAAACAAGAAATGTATGTTTTCTTACTTGCTTTTATGATTCAAGTTCCCCATGCCATGCTAGATAGGTTAAGAACCTTGGAAATCAAATTTGCATGTATCTTAGTAAAACATAGATCCAAGGTTTCTAGGGTTGCATGTACACCTTAGGAGTGTTAGAATTCTCAAAACCCTTCAGTGGTATCAGAGCCTAGGCTTGTTTTCTTGATACTTGATGCAAATTGTTGAAAAAAGTCGAAAAATATGCAATCTGCTGAGTGAACTCGCCTAGTCCATGGGGGGACTCGACGAGTCCATGCCTAAAATCATCCTACTCGTCGAGTAGGTTCATGCACTCGACGAGTAGAATGCCCAGAGTGCATATTTCCGAGTTTTGCTGCTGGAAATGGACTAGAAACATTACCCTAAACTGTTTTGGTCTTATAAAACTTGTTTTAGATGGTGTAATTGTGACACCCCCTAATTTTTCGGCCAGAAAAGACCGATTTAATTTATGCTCTTTAAAATAAAATCAGAGAAATCTTTTTAAAAGATGTTGCGGAATTTGTCCCCAAACCAAAACATGATAAAAGTTTGTCAAAACCTTTCTTTAAGAAATATATAATCTCTTTTTATATCAAAACCTCGGGATGTCATGTTCCGATACAGATCAAAAGCATAAACAATACATTATAAGCCTTACAACAGTCATTTATAACTACTGGCCTATAATCCAAAAATCACTCATCATCATCATCCGACTATGCTCGGGGTCGACTACCTGTAATATAAAAAGCTGAGTGGGTCAGGCTTGGAAGCCTGGTGAACATATAGGGTTTTCAACCCACAATAAATAATAAACTCTTTAAGTTTATCAATCAACAAATAATTTATTAATTTCATCAACCAAAAACAACCCTAATTACCCATTCCCGTTATCCTCACCTTACGTCCCTAAAACAACGATCACAAGGGACCTAGCCTAAGGATTTTCATTAGGGGTGACAACATTGCTTCGGGGGTTCCTCGGCAATTTATGTCAAATAAGGCAACCATCGGGGTGACAACTTTGCTTTCCTCAGCAAATTATGTCAAACAAGACAACCTAACATAAAACAACCAATAAGGTGACAACATTGCTTTCTTCAGCAATTTATGTCAAATAAGACAAACATCGGGGTGACAACATTGCTTTTCCCTCAGCAATTTATGTCAAATAAAACAACCAACGTGGTGACAACATTGCTTTCCCTCAGCAATTTATGTCAAATAAAACAACCAACGTGGTGACAACATTGCTTTCCCTCAGCAATTTATGTCAAATAAAACAAACACCTGGATGACAACATTGCTTTCCCTCAGCAATTTATGTCAAATAAAACAAACAACGGGGTGACAACATTGCTTTCCCTCGGCAATTTATGTCAAATAGGCACGAAGTAACATCGTCGCCAAGGTTTACACAACAGGCACTAAGTCCATAGCTGTCAACGTATTAAATCCATAGCTACCAACGTACATCTATACTGTACTAAATTCATAGCTACTAACGTACATCTATACTGTACTTTTATCCCTCATACTTTATCTACCCATGTTTTACCCAACATATTTGAAGATAAAATATATATACATTTTAAATCATTTTAAACATGTATAAAACATTCATTCAACACCCATCTCGAATAAACAAACAACATATATACACATAGCACGTATTTTATATAAACTACTTCATATCTATGTGTAAGATGAAAGTGACTACACACTCACCTGATTTAATGAAAATCGGGCAGCAATTTGTTTCCTAAAACGATCGTTTCTAATAAAACCGGGAGTTTTATTGAGAAACCAGGCTCTGCGAGGGTCGGGCTTCGAAACCGAAAAGATAAATTTTCCGGGCTTCTCGGGCACTTCGTGGCGTATTCTGGTGGTTATAATTGATACCGGGGCTTTGGGGGATGATAAAATGAAAGAAATATGGGTTTAGGGTCTAAAAGTGACAATTTTCCAAAGTATACCCGGGAGGTCTCGCATCCTCCTATTTATAGGGGCGAGCCTCCTGATCCAACGGCTGAGAAGGCTCCAGGTGTGCAGATCCGAGGGCTCGCAGGGAGGGCTCGCATGTAGGCTCGCACATGCGAAGGCTTGTTGTCCTCTTCTTACTGGACCGAGGTCTAGGTCCGAAGTAGGGGGAGTCTGTGGCTTCATGCGAAATTCCTTCTCAGCGGACACGTGATAGAGGGTACGTGTCGCCTTCTCAGTGGACCACTTCGGATCAGCTAAGAAGCTCGGATGACTCAGCACTTTTTCGGACACGTGGCATGTTCTAAGCGAGGACACGTGGCCGAAGTCCACCTATGCGAAATTCCTCGGTTTTGGGGATTTTTCTCATTTTTCGCGGCAAAACTTATAAAATCCATAACTTTCGCATACGAGCTCCGTTTTTTACGTTGTTTATATGCGCGCGTAGGTAAAATTACGCTCTACAACTTCCATTTAGACTTCGTCGGCTAATTTTGACTTTAATTTTTATATTATTATTTTTAACAGACCGGGCGGGAAAGGAAATCCGTTAAAAATTCATAACTTCTTCATCCGACGTCCGTTTTCATCAGACTTTTTACCGTTGTACTACTATTTACGAGACCTTCGATTCTCGTTTAGGTCGTGTCGGCTAAAAATCACTCGATCTAAAATTCGAGTTGTTAGCTGTCTACTGCTAAGCTGAAACTTCGAAAAATCATAACTTC